ACTCCCACCAACAGTGAATCAGGGTTCCAGTTTCTCCACAACCTCGCCAGCATTTGTTGCTTGCTGTTCTGTTAAATTTTGCTATTTTGACTGGGTCATCCTCACTTCTAAGGCACTTTCTGGTTGTATTTCTTTCAAAATAGCCTGTCCATTTTCAACACCCTACATCAAATGCATGAATTCTCATTCAGGCTTCCGTTTTCATAGTCTAGCTTTACCTTGTGTATGTCATTGTTAGATGCCATCAAGCTGTCTACAACTCATAGCAACCCTATGAACAACAGATATTCCTTCGCTGACAAAGATGAACTCAATTCCAGCCATGTTATTTTCAACACTTTCATATACGATAATTATGAACTTGTATATGAAGAGATTGAAAATATCATGGCTTGAGTCGGGTACAGCTCAGTTAGCTAAGTGACATCTTTGCTTTTTAAAATTAAAAGTAAGTAAATACTGGTATTCATTTTCTAAAAGTAAGATTGTGCCATCTGCAGATCACAGGTTGTTAATAAATCTTCCTTTAATCCTGATAACATTATTATTTATACAGTCCAGCTTCTTGGATTACTTGCTCAAAATACAGCATGAGTTCTGAAAGGATGCAAACCAGATGCACATTTCCCCCCTGATTTTATTTCTTTTCTTTTTTATTTTCTACTAGCTTATTGACAAAATTTGAATACATTGTTTACAAGAATAAATTCTTTCAATCTCCCTCACCTCCCCACCCATCAAAGTGTACAGCCTGATGATTAATGGCCCTTTCCCCCTGCACATCTGCATCCCTCTGCTTCCAACCTCTACCACTTCTCTTGGATCCTTATACTCATTCTACAACAATGGTTTTATACAATATTTATTTATGGGACAGAGTTAGTTCACTCAGTATAATGCTCTCCAGTCCCTCACAAGTTTTGTAATAATGTACAAAATCATTGCTCCTGCATGCTGCATAGTATTTCATTTTGTGAATGTACCATAATTTCTCAATCCATTCGTTTGTGGTTAGACATTTGGGCTGTTTCCATGTTCTTGGAATGTTGAATAATGCTACCATGAACATGGGTGTACTAATCTCCCTTTGTGCCTCAGTTCTCATTTTCTCAGGGTATATTCCAAGCAGTGGAATAACTGGGTCATATGGAATTTCTATGTTCAGCTTTTTGAGGAAACACCAAAGTGTCTTCCAGAATGGTTGCACCATTTTACAATCCTACCAAATCATTCTTTTGTTCTGTTCACCAAACTGCCACTTAGTATATGTACAAATTCCACATGAGCACAATTTAATGTTATGGAACTCCCAGTCTTGATAATATTGGCAATAATTTGTTATGATCAACAGTCAAATGCATTTGCAGTCAATAAAACACAGATAAACACCTTTGAAATATTCTCTATTTTCAGTCAAGATCCATTTGTATCAGTAACGGAAACTCTCATTTAATATCTTCTGAGTCTGGCTTGAATTTCTGGTAGTTCCTTACTAATGTTTGACTCAGTTATTTTACAACTATCAGAAAAAAAAAATATATATATATATATTTTACAACTCCCACATTCCACTGAATCATCTTTCTTTGGAATGGGCATAAATATGAATTTCTTTTCCAGATAGCTGTCTTCTAAATTTCTTGGCATAGACAAAAGAGTTCCTCCAACATTGTACTTAGTGAAGCATCTCAATTGGTATTCTATCAATTCATAGACCTTTCTTTTCTCCCAGTGCCTTCAATGCAGCTTAAGTTTCTCTTTCAGTACAATAGGCTCTTGATTGTATGCTACCTATCTCCTGAAATGGTTGAATGTCAATCAGTTCTTTTTGCTACAGTGTTTGTATGTATTTATTCCATGTTCTTTTAATGCTTCCTGTATTATTAACTATCAAGGCCTGAATATTTTCAGTTCTTTCAGCTTCAAAAATGTTGAGTATATTCTTCCATTTTAGTTTTCTAACTTCATGTAATTACACATTTCATTTTTAATCCCCTTGTACCACTCTTTGAAATCTGTTTAGCTCCTTTCTTCATAATTTTTATCATGCTTGGAAAGGTAGAGGATTAGCGAGAGAAAGGAAGAATCTCAGAGAGATGTATTGACACAGTGACTGTAACAGTAGGCTCAAGTTCATCAGAGACGATGAGGGTGGCACAGGGTGGGGCAAGGTTAGATCTATCGTTCAGAGGGTCACAATGAGTCATGCTCAACTCTAATGCACCTGAAAACCGCAACAATGTTCTAGATCAAGCTTCAGAGTATCTACTGACATCTATATTATTTATTTTTCTTTTAATTTATTTTCTTAAAATGACTTGCTTTCTTCATGTATGAATGATGTCCTTGATGTAATTCTACAAACCTCCTGGATTCCTACTGTTAATGTTCAATACATCAAATCTGTTTTTTAGATGGTCTCTCAATTCAGAAGGGGCTCAGGGGCACATTCAAGGTTGTACTTTTGCATTCATGAGTTTGTGTTCGTTTTCACAGCTTCAACCTGAGATTCAGCCCTTGCCTTGTCCTGCTAACTACTGAGCTTCTCCATTGTCTCTGTCCACAGATAATCAATTTGATTCTTTCTATTCCATTCAGTGAGGTCCATGTGCTTAGTTATCATTTATCTTGTTGATAAATCATATTTCAAATTGGTAAGTCATTGGTTTAGTAGAATGCTGCTATCATACAATCTCTGGTATCTTTTTTTGTTATCAAGATCATACTTCCCAACTGCTAATCTTTGTTTCAACTTTTACATTTCAAGCACCAGTAATTATCAATTCACCTTGATTATCTATTTGGTTAATTTCAGCCTGCAGAAGTAAATAAAAGTCTTCAAATTTAGTTTCATCTGTGGCATTAGTTTTGGTTAGTGCATAAATTTGAATGTTGTATTAACTGATCTTCCATGTGGGTTAATAACCTATCACAAACAGTGTTGTATGGCAGGGTAGATCTTTTTTTAGTATGTGTGTGATTTTTTTAAAAAGCAACCAATTTTAGGGGGAAACTTGTTGTCACTGTGTATGTAATGTTGGAACTGCTTTTCAGAAGAAGTAAATTAACAGGGAAGAGATTATCCACCCTTCTCCCACAGAGCAGATGCTGAATTAATTTGAACTGTGAGCCTTTGGGATTGCAGCACAGCTTCTTACCACTAGGCCATCAGCATTCCCAAATAGATCTTGAAATATGTATTGATTGAATTGTAGATTTTTTAAAATGTGTTTTAGTCAACACATACATATTTTTCCAATTTTTTAGTGTCCTTTCCTTGAACACTTACTTCAGATACCTGTTTGGTGGTTTCTGGAATTCATTCATCTCCTCTTAGGATGACTGAGTGTTCCCAAACACTCCTTCTATCCCTGCCCTGGGAGACAGATGGAGGGTTACATGCCTGATTCCCCACTCTACCTGGGGACCTGGTCAGGCTGCTTAGAGTCTTTAGGGAGTTATGCTGTGTAGTACGCCCCAAAAAGTATGTACAGTCAAGAATTTGTTTCCAAGATATTCTGACAAGATATCCTGGCAAACAGCAAAGGTCTTGGAATATCATTCCTGCTTCTTTGAGGTGTGGAAGAAGTCTGAGTTGAGATGGTCTGCATTAACAGCCCAGGATAAAAGGACTAAAATGGACCTCCATTCTCTCCTTCCCACGCTCAGGGTGGTCTGAGGAGTAAGTGGAAGAATGGGGTGTGACAGAGTCAGGGCATCACTGCTAACGGAATATTAAGGACCCACTTGCCAATTCCTCTGCATTGGCCTTGTCAAAGGAATATTTTCAGCTTGTCAAGAAGGAAATATGAGATATAAAACCAGTTGCCTTTCTGTTTAAGTTTTGAAAGTGGATTTACTTCATAGAACATAGTTCTAGAGGAAAACAAAGCTCTTTTTTAGACTTAGAGTGAAGACAAGAGCTCTGGTGGACTAGTGGGTAGGGAGTTGTGCTGTAAACTCAAAAGCAGATGGTTTGAATTTACCAGCTGCTCCTTTAAAAAATGATGGACAATCTCCTCTCAGGTGATTTCTAGACTCTGAAACTCCTCTGCTGGTCAGCTATGAGTTGGTTCTGGCTCCACATCAATGGGAGACAGAGAAGACTTCAGGGTGAATAAAGATGAAAAGACAAGCTGTCTATATTATGCTTGAAAGTGTGGATCCTTACAAACTTGTTGACAAACATCTCATAGGTTCTGACTTTGGGCTACTGCATTTGTAAACCATGCACCCAGCTATCCAAAAGATTTGTTATTCCCCCAGGAGAAGTAAAAGATGACACCCAGGAGGCTGTAGTAATAGTCATTGTCAGATAATTTATTCTATATAGTTTACATAACATATACTTTATATATTTATAAGGAATGTTTGCTTTTTTGTGAGCGTATTTTTCTAGGTGAATGGAATCATCATTTTCTTATTTTGAAGTTCATCGTGAGAAGAACATACAGAAAATATATGTCCCATATGTAACATTTTAATGTTTTCATTTTACAGGATAAATTTTGGAAATGGTATATGGGTAAGTTATTTTATTTCCTTTTTCTTTTACATATTATTTCTGATTCCTTTTATTTGCAATGAGATAAGGGAGTCAAATTAAGAAAATTTACTTGCTTAGTGCCAGTGGATTAAGGACTGGTTAAACCTTAATGGATCCAGAACCCCCAAGGGCATTGGGATTGATTCTTCATGAAGATGTGGGTCAGAAAGCGCCCCTGAGACATCATATAAAAAAATGACTTTCAGAACAAGCTTCCGTAATTCTAATAGTTCTAGAGCTCCAGGGGCCTGATGTTAAGAAACTGTGCTGCAATCCCAAAGGCACGTGTTTCAAATCCACCAGATGCTCTGTGGGAAGAAGATAGATAATCTCCTGCTATGTGATTTACTGCTTTTGAAAAACCAGCAGGAGGGTCAGCTGTGGGTCGGTTCCTACTCCACAGCACACAACAACAACAGCATGGAACCTCTAGCGTGGCTTTGTGTAGGGGGAGGTAAGGAATGTCCTCCCCACCTCAACTAAAGCAATTCCTTTTCTTTATCTGTCTCTTGGATTTTCTGGTAAAATTTGTTTTGAAGAAAGGACTAAAAAAACGGAAAAGGTTTTGAAAAGCAATGGCCCAACTCTAGATTACTACAGCTCAAGGCATGTGTAGACATTCCTGTGGTAAGAACTTTTGATGAATGGTGGAGTGCAGGGACTCTGGGTGGCACCAATGGTTAAAGCACTCAGCTTTCAAGGTTAGTGGTTCAAATCCACCCAGAGGTTCCCGGATGATGGACCTGGCACTCTATTTCTGAAAGGCCCAAGGAATTTATTATTCCCCTGAGAAGGAAAAGATGGCATTCTCTTACTGGAGGCACCAGTTCACCTCCCAGTCTCGCCTGGCAGCCAGGAAAACTTTATCAAGTAGTTCTACTTTGCACACGTGGGCAAACAGGAACCGGAAGCAGGGAAATAAAGAACAAGAATGTAGTGAGGAAGAGAAGACAGAGGGGTGTCTGGAAGCATGAGGGGACCACAGCAATTATCTGCCTTGATAACAAAATAGTGTGCTAACTGTAAAACTGTCATGGTAGAGCAAAGAAGAACATTAGGAGCAAGACATGGGGTGAGGTGGGGGTTGGATTAAGAAAGGAGCCTTTCAGGGAATACATGCTGCTAATGAGGTTTCATGCATCTGAACACTCGGGAAGTATCATTAAGCCAGACCAGGAGAGCACGGAGCAACCATGGCCCACTTCCTGTGTACTACACACCTCAGCCCCCTGCAGCCACAGAGCGCCTAGTACACAGGGTCGGTTAGGGATCTGTTCATTGGAAGAGGTACAAATGACCGAGAGGCTTAGAGACTCGCTCACATTACCCGCCCTAAGGTTTTCATCTCCCACCTGTTGTCGTCCTGCTAGGTGGCAGCCAGTGCGCATCCCAGCCTTGCCTGAACAACGGGTCATGTCATGACAGCATTCGAAGTTACACCTGCAACTGCTCCTCTGGCTACGAAGGCAGGAACTGCGCCTACGGTGAGTTCCCAACTCAGCTGCACGCAACCCTGCAGGCAATCCTGGCTTTAGACCACAGCTTTGTCAAGTTCAGGCGATCCTAGAACCCCACTCTCATTCAATCAAGACTTTCTCCTCGGTCAGGACCATTTTCCTGCTGGTTTAAGAGCAGATCCCAGTGTAGGCCCTGTGAGCTGTGTTTGATCTTGCCCCAGATGAAAACCTCTGGTTAAAGCAAGATTCTTCAATGGGTGGGGGCAGGGGCGGGGGGAGTGCGTGGAGGGGGGAATTCATAGGTTATAGTGGCCCTCTTCCCTTCTAAATACTAACATTCTAGTTTTTCAGGCTTTAAGATCCTTTTCCTCTTCTCTCCCCCAACCCTTCACCACCTGATTGATCTATTCATAATCTATTCATGTCAATTTCTAGAATACATTATTATTATTTCATAAGCTGGAGATGCACAGGATCTGGAAAGTAAATTTATAAGGTCTGGAATTTCAGTCAAAAAACATTAATTAGCAACTTGGCCTCCTCACTTATTATATAACTCTGTGATGGTAGAACTCCAGATGACTTTTTCTTTCTAATTATCTCTGTATTAGTGGAGTGCACTTAACAAAACAGGAAACATAATATGCAGGTAACTTTTATACAATGTTGTTATTATTATTATTAGGTGCTGTTGAGTTGAGTACAATCCAGAGCAATAGATCTGAACCCTGTCCTATCCTGTGCCATCTTCACAATCTCTGATACCCGAGCCTATTGCAGCAGTCACTGTGTCAATCCATCTGGTTGAGGGTTAGCCTCTATTTTGCCCACCCTCCACCTTCCCAAGCATGACATCCCTTTCCAAGGAATAGCCTCTCCTAGCAACATGCCCGAAGTACGCAAGAAGCTTTATCATCCCTGCCTCCAAGTAGCACTCTGATTGCACTCTCTTCCAGACATATTTGTTCTTTGACATTCCATGGGATAGTCAATACTCTACTCAAACATCACAGTTTAAAAGCATATTTTTTTTTCTTCTGTCATCCTTACTCATTGTCCAGTTCTCAAATGCACAGGAGGTGGTTGAAAAGACCATTGCCTGAATCAGGCACACCTTAAACTGACATCACTGCCCCTCAATAATTGGAAAGGTCTCTGACTAAAGCCTTCCCCAGTTCACGAAATAGTTTATAAATTTAAGGGTTTATGTTTGGCTAATTTTATGCAATTTCCTGTGCACTATGTGCCAAATATTTTTTGTTATAAAGTAACTTATTTCTCACTCAGTAGCTACTCTCTTTAAATTGCAACATTTATTCTTGCCTTTCTAATATAACAGGTGCTAATGCTTGATAGAACTGTTAAGCAAAAGTATGTAAGCCCTCACTTTGAAAAGTATGTGGAGTCTAAGAAAAAACATATATCATTATTGAATCGGAAAGGTTTCTTTTCCTTTCTAAATTTGTGCTAGATTTTTCAGCTTACTAAAAGTCTCATTTCAAAGGTCACTCTTTTATCCAATTAAATAATACTTTCCAAGAGTTCAGTTATTTCCTAACTAGTGCCAATAAGTAAGAGAAAAATTCTTGCATTTCAGTGGATACAGTCCAGTGTCCACTTGAGGGGGTCTTGGTGGTTAAACATTCAGCTGCTAGCCTAAAGGTTGATAGTTCAAACCCACCCAACAGGACCACAGGAAAAGAATCTCATGTTCTGTTCCCATTAAGATGAGAACCAAGAAGACCCTATTGGACAGTTCTCCTCAACAGCAAACAACAGTGTCCACTTGGAATCCTAAATTCCTTAGTAGGAAATGAGATTAATGATCATTTGTACTTATTGATAGTTACAGTCAAAAAGCTCTGGTAGCCTAGTGGGTAAACAGTTGCCCTGCCAACCCAGTGGCATGTGGTTCAAATCCACCAGCTGCTCTGCAGAAGAAAAATGGGAGTCACCACCTCTTGTGTAGTTTACTGCTTATGAAAACTCTCCAGTAACAACAACACATGTTGCATATTATGATATACTTTCTACATAGTCAGGACTCTTGAGTCATAATAGGTGTTTAGAGGCATTGTGCAACTTTGACTTTCATGTTGACTTTGGAATGAAGCCTATGGATAAGATGGCAACTCCCACTGAAGAATCATATGTCAACTGTCATAGCTCAAGAATGGTGATTCATATTTGTTGGGTATAATAAATGAATGCAGCAATAAGAAAAAGGCATAAAGGAATTGTATTCTTATAGGACCACTAATAATAAGCAGCTTTTGTTCAGTGTGGTAAGATTTCAAAGGACACCTCATTTAAAGTAGTGTTCCATTTCTTGTAGTGCTCTGGTGTCACTGGGGTGAAATCATTCCACTACTAATCAAAATGTCAGCTGTTAAACTTACCAGCTGCTCCAAAAGGCATAAGGGGACGTTGACTCCATCTACTTCCATAAAGATTTTGTTATTGTTATACACTGTTGAACCAGAACCGTCCCAGAGCTAACCCTCTGAGGGCTTTCAGAGGCAGTAAATCACACAGGAGATTACCCAACTTTCTCCCATGGCAGCTGGTCGATTTGGATGCATACCTGAAGGTTGGCAGCCCAGCTGCTGACCAGTAGGACAAATCCTAAGAAGCAAGTCCGTGCTGACCTCTACAGGTGCTGTGCGTCAGATTTAACACACAACAGTGCATTTGGTTTTGTTTTTCATTTTTCCAAAAGCATATCTAACTTACCCCAAGCAGATTCATTTTCTTGTTATTAATGTGATTAGAAACCTTGAGTATTTGCTCAAAGAGGAAAACAAATACTCAAAGAGCAAAGCAAATTCTGAGAATTTGTACTTTCCAAGAGAATGGCAAAACACAAAGTTCCAAAGGACAAGGTGGCTTCAGGAAACACCTGTCCTGTGTTCTGCTGAGCAAACACAGTTTCAGCATTTCTTTTCCCTGTGAGAGTCCAGGTGAAGTGGTAACAGAATGGCAACAGTTATCAGAAGGGTTTTCAAAAGGGCTTGCATTCTTTCTAATAACCCATTTTCTTTTGATTGATAAATTTAAGGCATTCTCAACAGTTTTCTCTTGGGTATACAAATACTAAATTAACATTAAAAAGAATTCTTTTACTACCATCATCACAAAACACTGGATTGATACCTATTGAATGCAAACTTTCAACTACTTCATCTTACTTGGATAGATAATTAGCACCCTTTGGTACGAGCAATCAAGAGATGGAGATATGTGTTACATTAGAAAAGTCTGCAGTCTGGGATATCTTCAAATTATTGAGAAACAATGATGCCAGTTTGAAGACTGAGGTGCACCTGATCCAGGCTATGTTCTTTTCAGTCACTTGTTGTGCATCTGAGATCTGAACAATGACTAAGAATGACAGAAGAAGAATTGATGCAAAAAAAGAGAGAATCGATTCCTTTGAAGAGTGTGAAATAACCCATAACTAAAAAAATATTTAAAAAATAATCAAACAACAAACAGATAGCTCTTCAAGAAGGTGCAGCCAGCATGCTTCCTGGAGGCAAAGATGGTGAAGCTTTGTTTCACAAACTTTGCGCATGTTGCTAGGATAAGCTATTCTTTGAAGAGGGGATTCATGCTTGGAAAGACGGAGACTCAGCAAAGAAGAAGAGACCTTCAAACCAGATGGACTGACACAGTGACTGCAGCAATGGGCTCCATCAAGTGTGTCAGAGGTTGTGAGGACGGCACAGGACAGGACAGGGTTCAGATCGTTTGTTTGCAGAGCCACTATTAGCCGTACTCAGTAGTACCCACCAAAGCAACAACAGATAAAGGACCAGCCAACCAGCGTGCGACCAGTGACAAAATAGTGAGAATCTGACATCTTATAATACTTATGTAGTAGCATGATACTGGTTTCTTGTCTTTAAACACTCTGTAGTAGTTTTTTAAAAATCCAAACTAATTTTTTTTAGAATGATTGAATTTTGTATTTATAATGATTTATTCATTGCAAATACCTTTCTGAAAAGCCACAGATGAGTGATTACTTTACACATGCATCTCACCTGATAGGCTGTTTGTGGAAGAAATCATTGGAGAAGTTCAATATCGGCAGTCAAAACTAGGCCAAGGGCAGACTATCATCAAGTTCAAATTGAGGCCGAAGAAAATTAAGTCCACAGGAACCAAGATATGATCTTGAATCAATACCATCTGAATTCCAAGATCTTCTTAGGAATAGATTTGAGGCATTGATCACCAATGATCAAAGACCAGATGAATTGTAAGATGATATCAAGATATCATTCATGAAGATAGTAAAAGGTCATTACAAAAACAGAAGAGAAAGAAAAAAATCTAAATGGATGTAGGAAGAGACTCTAAAATTTCACTGGAGCATCAAAACACCAAAACAAAAGGGGAAGAGCTGAACTAAAAGAGAAGATTTCAAAGGGCAGCTCTGGAAGACATAGCAAAGTATTATAACTGAAAGTGCAGAGACCTGGAACTGGAGAATTAAAAAGGGAAGAACGCGCTCTGCATTTCTCAAGCTGAGCAAACGGAAAATCAAATATAAGCCTCGAGTCGTAATATTGAAAGATGCTATGGGAATATATTGAATGACCCAAAAAGCATCAAAAGAAGATGGAGGGAATACAGAGAATCACTGTATCAGAAAGAAGTGATTGACACTAAAAAATTTCAAGAAGTACCTCAAGAACAGGAACCAGTGGTAATGAAAGAGGAAATGAAAGTTGCATTGAAGGCATTGGTTAAAAAGAAAGCCCCAGGGAGCTCTGACAGCCCAGTGGCAAGAAGCTGTGCTGCAATCCTAAAGACGTACAGTTTGAATCCACCAGATGCTCCACTGGAGAAGGAGGGGAAATCTCCTCCTATACCAGTTGGATCTGATTCAACAATGTACAAGAAGGAAATTTAAAACATCAATAAATAAATTTTTAAAAAATATAGCTCCAGGAATCAATGGGATACCAACTGACTTGTTTCAGCTAACAGATGCAGCCTTGCATGCACTTACTAGTTTATGTGAGGAAATTTGGAGGATGGCTGTCTGGCCAATGGATTGGAAGAGGTCCATATTTGTTCCCATTCTCAAAAAAGGTAATCCAACTGAATGTGGAAACTATCAAACAACATCATTAATATCACATGCAAGCAAAATACTGCTGAAGATCATTAAAAAAAAACAGCTGGAATATACATAAGTAAAGAACTGCCAGAAGTTCAAGTGAGATTTAGAAGACACTGTGGCATCAGCAACATCATTGGTAATGTCAGATGTATCCTGGCTGAAACTAAGGAATACCAGAAGAACATCTATTTGTACTTTATTGACTGTGCAAAGGCATTTGACAAACTGTGGCTGACATTGAGAAGAATGGGAGTCCCAGAGCACTTAATTGTGCTCATGCAACACCTATACCTGAATCAGGAGGCTGTTGTGCGAACAGAGCAGGGGAACACTACATGGTTTAAAATTAAGAAGAGTGTGCATCAGCATTGAATTCCCCCTCCATACCTATTTAATCTGTATGCTGAGCAAATTATTCAAGAAGCTGATGTCTGTGAAGAGGAATGTGGCACCAGAATTGGAGAGAGACTCATCAATAACCTGTGTTAAGCAGACGACACAACCTTGCTTGCTGAAAGTGAGGAGGACTTGAAGCACTTGTTGCAGAAGATCAAGGAATGCAGCCTTCGGTATGGATTATATCTCAATGTCAAGAAAACAAAGATTCTTAATAGGCAGTGCCATGATGCATGGAGAGGAGATTGAAACTGTCAGTAGCTTCATCTTGCTTGGATCCACAATAAATACCTTGGTACCAACAGTCATGAAATAAGAATTATATTGCACTGGGAAAATCTGCAGTTAGGGACCTCTCTATTGAGGAGTAATGATGTCTGAGGACTAAGGTGCATCTGATTCAGGAAATAGTCTTTCTGATTACTTGCTATCTGAGAGCTTGACAGTGAATAAAGGTGACACTTTTGAGCTGTGGTGTTGGAAAAGAGCACTGAACATTCCATGGATGGCCAAAAGAATAAACAAGTATGTCTTGGAGAGGGTGTAGCCGGTGTGTTCTTTGGAGGCAAGAATGATGAGACTTTGCCTCACATGCTTCAGGCATGTTGCTAGGAGGGGAGATTCCTTGGAGAAGAACATGATGCTAGAAAGAGTGGAGGGTCAGAGAAGAAGAGGAAGTTTACCCTCAACCAGTTAGACTGATGCAGTGACTGCCACAATGGGCTCTCATGTGTCAAGAAGTGTGAGGACGGCACAAGATAGAACAGGGTTCAGATCTTTTGTTCATAGTGTCACTATTACTTGCCTTGACAGCACCTAACAACAAAGTGATTTAAAGAAGTATTTTAAGAGATATTAATTAAGAAAGACTCTTGCTTGTCACTAATAGTGTAATAGGAAATTAATTCCTCAATTAATAGATACTAACTTTTCAAAATGCCTTAAGCTAGATATAAAACTCATGTTTCTTTTTGTAATTTGTTAAAAGGAAATAAGTTTTTTCTTTTTTTCCCTCTTAGCCTAGTTATTGTTGTTGTTATGTGCCATCAAGTTGCTTGCAACTCATAGTGACCCTATGTACAAGACCCCTAAATCCTGTTCTATCCTATGTCAACCTCACTGTCTCTGACACCTTCTCCATTACCCAAATCACTGAATCAATCCATCTCATCAAGCAAGGGTCTTCCTCTCCTGCGCTGTCCCTCAACAAGGTCTGGTCCCTCCTTTGCCACATGCTCAAAGTATGTCAGACGAAGCTTCAGAATCCTTGACTCCAAGGAGCAGCCTGGCTTCACCCTCTATAGGATGAACCTGTTTGTTTTCCTAGCAGTCCGTGGTATATTCAACACTCTTCTCCAGTACCACAGCTCAAAGGCACCAATTCGCTTTCTATCATCCCTAGTCACTGTCCAACTCTCTGGATCATAGCATACAATTGCAAAGACTAGACAAAGTGATTAACTAACTTCCTTATTAATGTTGTGCACCCATTAGGCAATTTAAAGAATTCACTAATGGAGGTTTTCTTTATTCTACCCAGAAATCTACAGTTGAGCTGTAATCCCCTCACGGCCTACATTTTGCACCTGGGAATTACTGCCCTTTGGTCATAAAACATTGGATAGCTCCAGTTCTCTCAGGTCCTTGACAAGGCTGGGCTTATTTGCCCTGCACCTTCACCAGGCCCAGGCAGCTGGACAAAGAACACACACTCTGTGAGAATTCTCACTCATTGCCCAAGTTCTCTCTACGAGCTCCACAGCCTCTAACAAAGCACACCCCAATTTATGAAGTTTATGCTCCCTGTCTCTCATATGCAGTCATATAAATAAACTTCTGCTCCAAGATTAGTTTTTTAACGAGAAAAATAGCAAATCTGTATTTCTCCATTAATCATCTCCATTTAATAGTTATTGTCAACAAATTTACAAAACAGATTCTCAAAACTACATCCAGTGCAGTGTCTGTGGTTTCTGTGTCACAGAGAGAGCACTAATAAATTTTCACCTCAGGGTGGCAGGGAGGAGGAATGATGGTAGATCTCAATACTAAGGCTAAGGCGAAGTTAGATTTTTCAAAGGTTGAGTATAAGGGTTGTTACTCACTAAACTTTTGATTTTTATTTTCCTGAAACATAAAAAATGGAAAAGATGTTTATATGAAAAGCCAATGAATTATCTGAAAAGAATGAGAACATCTGGACTGAAAAACAGAACCAAATCGTGCAGGGAGATTATAAAAATGATTATATCTCCATCTTAGTAATTTTTAAAAAGCTCATCAAACTCAATGTTTTGTTTTTAAAGTATTTGAGGGAAAGTTTATAATTAATATTGGGTTTTCATTCAAGTATTCATAGATACTGTTTTTTATAATACTAATAATGATTAATATAATTCATTATGATATCTACGTGAGTTCTAGTGGCCTAGTGATAGGAAGGTTCACTGTAGTCCTAAGGGCCCTGTGCTCAAATCCAACAGCTGCTCCTCAGGGGAAAGGTGAGCAATCTCCTATGTGAGTTATTGTCTCTGAAAACCCACTGGACCGTGGGGTCAGCTACGAGTCAGTTCTGACTCCACAACAAGATCAACCCCTTAGATCTCTGGTGTGTGGTCCATAGGGAGTAGCACTGCTAATCCAAAGTCTGCACTTCTCTAGTAGTTCAAATCCACCGACCAGTGCTATGGTTCTGACTCCACAGCAATGAGTTTGAATTAACCCTTTATTGTATATTACTTTTTCCCTTCACCCATTTACCTATTTGTTAATTTTCAGTCCTCCATTCTCTCCCTTCCCACCTCTGTTAACCACCCAGGAATGATTCCAGCAGTGTGTGTAAACCTTCCCTCAGCTTTTAAAATAGTGGTCTTTCATATTAGCATTTGTGTAACATTGTGGTTTGTCTCTGTGGGTCTTGGTGATCTTTTTTTCCCCTTTTCAGCTAAAAATGAATGTTACCCAGAGAGAACTGATGGGTGTCAACACTTCTGCCATCCAGGACAGGATTCCTACATGTGCAGTTGTGCTAAGGGTTATAAACTCGGTGCGGACGTAAAATCATGTATTCCAAAGGGTAAGATCTCAAATGAGAAAAAGTAGTCTCATCCCTGCAATTGTGAACCCCCTTTCCACACATGTTTTGTAGGAACATTCTAAAGGTGTATCTTTTTGTAATTAGAAGTAACTATAATTCCATTTATAATCTTGCCTCCACAAGAGAACAATGAAGGTGACCCCCCCAACAGTGCAACTTTTCTTTCTCAAAAACAAAACAAACAAGCCTAATTCACTGAAGTCCAGGCACTTCTGACTCATGGTGACTCTGTCTTGCATTTCCAAGGCTATAAATCTTCACAGGACTCCCAGAGAGCAGATGGTAGATTCAATCCCCTAAACTTTTGGTTCAACTACCAACTGACAGCCAACCTTCCAACAAGTTTCCTGAGGCTGTAAATCAAATGGGAGATTGTCCATCTCTCTTCTGAGGAACAGCTGGTGGAGCTGAACTTTCCACCTGTGGATTGGTAACCTAGCTCCGTACCCTCTAGGCCACCAGGATTCCTTTCATTGCTAGACTTGTCCAAGTTAAGTTTTCTGAGCCAATCTGGAAGTACCATTAAAGAGTCACCTAAAGTATTTCATTTCACTGTGTTCAGTGTATGCATAAATTATCACAAAATAATCAGCATCAGGGACTAAAACTTCAGTAAGTTAACATGCTCAAAACCTGATGTTTGACTTGGAAAGTACTAAGTTTTCTCCTAATTTTATCTTTACAAATGAAGAGAAGTGTGCATGTGGACTCCTGGATCTTGAATGCTTCATGACACTAAGGAAAAACTACCAGAAAATTCAAAATTTCCCTTGGCAGGTAACTGAATTTTTTCCCCTAAAATGTGTTTTATATTACAAAATACTACCTGTGTCTACTCTCTTACAGGAAAAGAAATGTAATGTCTAAGTAGAAATACAACAATTAAGTAAAACAGACATAGTGAGTTAGGTGAACTATTTCCTAATACTCTGTATCACATTTTCAAAACACTTTCTCAAGCTAAATTGACAACCTGAATGGTCTTTACTATTTGTTTTAAAAATTAAAGTCACCCAGGACCTTTCTTATGTACTTGAAAAACTGTCAGTCATGTCATTCCCCACCCCAACCCATGCCATTTTTTAAAGGAACAAACATCCTCAAGGCCTGGCTTATATCAGCACTTGAGTCTGTAAACCACTCCGGTGTAACACCACTGTGTTTACATCATGCCATCCAAGCATCTGGAAAGCCAAGTCAAGTCTCCTCTTAACCTCCTTGGACTGGATTCCGGTTGCATTCTTTTGTTCACTACATTTTCTCTTTGGCATTCATTTTATTATTTTCCTCTCCCCACTCCCCACTCTTGACTGGTTTAGAAGTAAACACTATTTGTTACTCTTAAAAAAGTGTAAATGCTTGCAACAATGAATGAATATTAAAGAAAAAAAATGAATGTGAACTGGAGAGGTGAATAGAGGAGGAGGGAGGAAAGTTTGCAACAATGAATGAGTGAAAATCTAACTTTTCTGTAAACTTTCATTTCATTTCACAATTAAAATTTTAAAAAATTAAAAATTTACTCGACAGCACATGACAACAAATGCCTATTTAATGTAGCAGTAAAGAATTGGTGTTTTTATAATTTTCTCAAATAATTTGAACTACTTCAAACTAGACTCACTTGCTATTTTCATCACTTTTAAGCTCTCTAAAAAGTATTATCACTATAATTTTATACTGCCAAATTGGGTTTAAATATTCCTGTGTTTTTCATTTTTCCTGTACCTCAGAGGCTTCTCTGATCATATCCTTCTGCCTGTAATATACTCTTTAGGAAAAGTCCTGTCAATGGGTTTTGAGTCCCTGTGGTTACACAAAGTAAAAGCAAGGTAAAGTCAGTTTAGTGTCTTTTACTTAATCTAGTAATGCAAATACAACATTATTATTTCAGTATGTAATGAAAGTAAAAATAATTGAGGATACTTCTTTCTCTTGAAAGTATAGGACTGTATCATAAAACTCTTGCATATATTTTTTAATTCGTGTTGTTTCTGTTATGTACCATCCAGTCAAAACAGACTCACAGCTGATCCTCCAGAGGGTTGTCAGTCGGTGAATGACACAGGAAGAGATTTCCATCTTTCTCCCACACAGCAAGTGGTGGATTGAACTGTGTGTATTGACGTTGGCAGCTCACCTCATGACCACTAGACCACCAGAGCTCCATGTTGCTTTTTGTATTTTCAACTCATATTGTTGTTGCTACTGTGGAGTATGATTTATAGTGACCTTATGAACAATAGGTCTGAACCCTGTTCTCTCCTGTGCCATTCTCACCATCTCTGATATACTTAAGCCCATAGATGCGGCCGCTGTCAATCCAACTCATTGAGGGTCTTCCTCTCCTCTTCTGACTGCCTTTCCAAGTATGCTGTCCCTTTCCAAGGAATAGCGCCCCCTAACAACATGGTCAAAATATGAAAGTTTCATCATCCTTGCCAACCAGGAACACTTTAGCTGCATTTTCTTCAAGATATGTCTGCATGTTGTTGTTGTTAGGTGTCATCAAGTATGACTCCTAGCAATTTCATGAACAACAGGTCTGAACCCTGTCCTATCCTGTACCATTTTCACAATCTCTGATACACTTGAATCCATTGCTGCAATCCGTTTCAATCTACCTAGTTGAGGGTCTTTCTGTCCTCCCCTGTCCCTCCACCTTTCCAAGCATGATGTCCTTCTCCAAGGAATACCCTTTCCAGCAACATGCCCAAAGAATATGAGATGAAGTTTCATCATACTTGTCTAAAAAGAGCACTCTGGCTGCACCTTCTCCAAGATATATTTGTTCTTTTGGCAGTCCAAGGATATCTTCTGGACTCCAACACCACAGTTCAAAGGCATCTTTTCATTCACTAGCTATGTTGCTGAGAGTTGGATGACAAAAGAAAAATTGGTATCTGCATGTTCTTGTTGGTGGTGTGTGCCTTCAAGTCAGAACTGTCCTGTAGCTGACCTCCAGTGGGTTTTCAAAGGCAGTAAATTGCAAAGAAGACTTCCCATCCTTCTCCTGTGGAGCTGCTGGTGGATTTGAACCATGTGACTTCAGGATTGCAATACATCTTCTTACCATTAGGCTACCAGAGCTCCCTATCTTTATAGTATGTCTCAATTTGGACTAGTGATGGATTGATTGAGTGGGGAAATGAAGGTAGGTGTGTCAGAGACAATAATGTTGGCACAGGATAGAATAGGTTTTAGGGCTATTGTACATAGGGTTTCTGAGTCACAAGCAACTTGATGGCACATACCACCACCACATAACAGAACAGGTTCAGAGTAGTGTGACTATAGATATCAGTAACATTTCAAATGTTCAATAATCACAAACAACTGTGACTCTAATGATGGAAAATATTAGAGGCTTCTTTGTTGAGGGGCTGGGAACCATTAGCCCTTTATATTTTCGGGTTTTGGGAAAATACATTATTTCACTCTATCTTACCAAAAGTTTTTGAGTGCTGAGTTCTAGGTGGATGTTTTCCCTACTAGCTCTTAAAGAGTTCATTTCAGTGTCTTAGAACTTTCATTGTTGGTGAGAAAGTTGTCAATTTTATTACTATTTTGTCAAACATTTCACTTCCTCCAATATTATAAACTCTACAGACATGTTTCTTTTTGTTTAAGCAACAAGTTATGCTGGTAGATTTAAATAATAAGGAAAATTTCAAAATACATACATACTGAAATGCAGATTTGTATTTAATTGAATATATTTACCATTTCCAGTGTTTTAATTCCATCTATACAGTATTAGTTTCCTTCTGCCCAAAGCATTTCTTTTAGTTAGTATTTATGGTGCAACACTGCTGCTATCTTTCAGCTTTGCATTTCTGACAATCTTCCATCTTCACCTTTGAAAAATACAGGCTCTCCCTTTTTCAGTGCTTTACACATTCCAGCAACTTATTTTCTTCTGTCATCACATGTTGTACCCTCTTTCTCCAGACTACACTTAAAATTTTCTTTTTATTACTTATTTTGAATAATTATGTCTTGCTGTATTTTCCTTCATGTCTCTTGTGCTGAAAATTTGTTGCATCTTGGATGTTTGAGTTTATAGTATTAATCACATTGAGAAAAATTTTAATCATTGTTTTTAAACTTCCCACCCTCTCTTCACCTTGGAAATGCTTAATCATTTCAGGTCCAGTTTTTAAAGATTCATTAGCTAGGAACAGCAATAGTCGGTCTCTGCAAGATTATTCCCTAGAATAAATACTAAAGAGCCCTGGTATCACAAGTGTGACATGTTGGTTTCCTAACACAAAATTCAGCAGTTTAGATCAACCAGCCACTTCACAGAATGATGAACGATCTTCTGTGCAGAGTTAGTGTCAAAAGTCTGGTAAGAGGGTTGCCATGAGTCAGAATAGGCTCAGCAGCAGGGGGCTTAGAATCATTGCTGAAGTAAGACTCTTTTTTATTACATTCTACTCAAGGTCCTGTGAAATCATGAGGTTTCTCAGTGCAGCTGGTGGAAACAAAACACTACTGTACCCCTATCTTAGTGCTCCCTCTTAACCGTTGAGTGTCTCCCACATCCCCTTGTGACCTTAAGTATACCTACTCCTCACTTACTGGCATGGTTAAGTTTCAAAAACCAGGTAAATTTTAAAAAATTGTTGCTATGCATAAATGACTGAATCCTCAATAATTGCCAAAAAATGAGCATCATGACCCAACCAGTTGATACACACACAGTTAATGTATGGAGATTGCAGAATAGAGTGGTTTTCTTTTTTATTATGTTGCAAATTCAAAATGTCAGATGAGGTAGGAGAGGTATGAGGATTCTTTCCCCACAGCATATGTTAATACCCTGCTGAAGAGAGACCTATGTCCAGACTTCCCTCTCTCCTTTCCAGTATGCTTTTGGTATGGTCCTGCAAACTAGCCATTTTCATCTTCCTAGGCTTCCAGCTTAGGAAGCATGCTCAGTTCAGGGAGTATTGTTTTTGCCTAGGCTATCACTTTTTTCCTTGTGTCATGGAAACTCTCTTATGGTAATACACAAAGGTATTTCTCTCGGAGATTACAGTTCTGTGTTGCCACTGTGTTGCCAGATGTCCAGTGTTTCAAAAACCATGCTTCACATATTGTGTTTGTTTCAGGTGACAGGGCAGACATGTTATTCCTTGTTACTCGGCCCTGGCCGCCTGCAGGTGAAGAATCAGCTCTTTATTATAGCTAAGCAAACCAAAATTTTAGATTGTCAGAGACTTAGAATCATATAGCCAAGTGGTGGAGTGAGATTTAGACATCTTTCATTTGTTTCTGAAGCACGATTTTAACCTCCAGCTACGCCACTTTCTAACTGTGTACATTGTCAGTAGCTATTGTCTGTTTTGCCTTTTAAAGGTAAAATTAACAAACTCCGAAGGAAAACACTTCTGTGGTGGTGTTCTAATACAGGAAAATTTTGTTCTGACAACAGCAAGGTGTTCACTCATGTACAGAAATATTAGCGTGACAACAGGTAAGTATTTTATCATTAATTTTCATAACACTGGAAAATTACCCTAAGAATGACAATAATAATTTAAAAACTGTCTAATCCAGGACAGAATGAATTTTGCTTCAATACTGAGGTACCTATTATAAAATCAGAAAGTGTATGTAAAACATCTAGCAGAATATATAGCAAGAGTACTAAGTAGGCAAACGATAATCAACATTTAGTACTGTTGTTGTTGTTTAGTGCCATCAAGTTGTAGGTGACTCATAGCGACCCTTATGAATAAGACCTGAACATTTCTATAACTTTCCTTGTTTCTCCAAGTTCATAGGGTTTCTGGAGGCAAGCTATTTCAGAAGTGGATGCCACTCCTGCTTCCAAGCTTGTTTTAATCGGGGAGCTACACCAAACACTGTCTGCCATGAGTAACCATTATCACATTTGATGCATCAGTGTCACAGTGTTTAGCATCACAGCCACGAGTTACCTCTGTAGAGCAAAAGAACAGACCAGTGATACACCACTTAGGAGATTATTTGACCAAAATCAATAAAAAACAGGCCCGAGGGCTACAGATTAAAATCAACCACCTTTGGCTTGGTAGCATCACTTTCTATCCACCAGGCCAACTGAGCTCTATGTTGTTATTGTTAATTGTCATCGAATCATAGGCGATTCATAGCGACCCTTTGGATAAGAATGAAAAGCCTCCAAAAATAATTCACTGACATTTAAATGGAGCAGCTATAGCGTAAAAGACAAAAAAGCTGAAAGTTGGTTAAGTCTGGTAGTAATGTGATCCTGGGTTTAGTACCTGACTTATCTGTGCTTATTTTATTATCTATTAAGAACTAATTTTTATTCCACAGGAAGGTTATGAAGGTTAAAAATTTAATCTTGACTTGCTTGGGAAAGTTTCTCATAATTTCCTAATTTTTTGTAATTTAGTTTTAGTATTATTTTTCTCCTCCTTCTTCCAACCATCCTTCAATTATCTTCTCACTCACACTGGCAATAGGTAAACCCAGCAGAATTATAAGGTTACTTTTATCATTGAGGAAGCTTCAATATCAGAGATATACACTCATTTATACTGTGTATGTATGTGTGTTCCTCCAATCTAACCTCTCCCTCCAAAAAAGGACTCTACAAAACATCTTTTAGAAGGACAGTGTGAGGAGAGGTCATGGAAATGAGAAGAAATACTTCTTGTTATTTACCTTTCAATCCCCAGGAAAAAGCTAATGCAATTAGACAGGGTATTTTCTACTGTATTAAGGATCTGCTTTTGTAACATGATTCACTGAGAAATTAATTCCTAATTATTATCTTGACTTCAAAAAAGCAAACTTAAAAAAACTAGTGATTGTTCTTTATTTCAGATTTCAATAGAACCAGCAATGACCCAGTGACAATCCAGATAAAGAAAATGAATGTGCATATGAGGTACGATGAAGACACTGGGGAAAATGACGTGTCGCTGTTAGAGCTGGAGGAACCCATTCAGTGCCTCAGCGAGGGGCTGCCCATCTGCATACCTGAAAATGACTTTGCAGAACACGTTCTAATTCCAAGGAAAGTGGGCCTCGCCAGCGGCTGGACCGTCAATGGGACTGAACTGGGCGACTCACTAATGAAGTTGTCAGTTACACAGTTTGATGGTGAGGAATGTGAAAAGGCACTTAATGTGACAGTCACGACAAGGACGTATTGTGAGAAGAGTGAATCCACAGCTGGGCAGTGGGTGGAGGGAAGCATTGTTGTAAGAGAATACAAAGGCACTTGGTTTTTGACAGGGATTATGTCCTCACCTCTAGAAGAGCAAGAACAGATATTTCTTTTCACTAAGATTTCAAGATACTCCCTCTGGTATAGACAAATAATGAAATAAGACTGGGGAACTAGGGAGAGTAAGATATGTGATAAAGTTTCAAATTGTAACTGAAGCCATGGGGCAAACTGAAACTTTAACAACAATACAACCAAAAGGCTGTTAATGCTTCAGAAAGTCTAGTCAGCATGCCAACTATTAGAGTCCCTGCTTGTTGGATCAAACTACGTGCTGTGATAGTTTCTGTATAACTTTCTTATTAAAACAGAGTTTTTAAAAGAGGAAGTAAGATATATATGTCTGATGGGCTCACGCGTGCTAGATGACGAAGATGGCACGGGACAGGACAAATATAGGTCTGTTGTTCATAAGGCCACGATGAGTTGTACTCAATTTGATGGAACCTAACAACGTTGTCATCATTAAGACAAAAATCTTCAAATGAGAAACGATACAGAACAAAAACTGTGCTGCTTTGATTTGTACTAAAATGAAAAGTGAGAGGAGCTGGGTAGAAGTGACGTATCAGCGCACATTTTATGTTAATAAAAGTGAGTAGCAAAATTGCTCTCAACAAAGTGTCTGTAACTTCTAGTCAAACCGCTGTAGTGTAATCAAACAGTGATCACAGGCTAAGTGGCTCCATGGAGAAAGTCTACCAACTGCAGACACAGAGTGCTGGGGTGAAGGCTGTCTTTTCCTAAAGAGGAAGAAAAGGTTTTAAAGGATTTAAACATGTAGGCTAATATAAATATCCTCTGTGGTTGAAGTTTAACCAATTCTGATTTTAAACAATTCCTTATTATTCTTAAACATACAAAGCATCTCTTTTATTTTTTAAGAAAACTAAAGCCAGAAGTAAACTTTTCTGTGAGGAGTAGTAGTAGTAGTCAGCACATGGATTGGTCTAGTTCTCTGAAAGAACTGGCATTGCTAATCTAACTGAGACTAATGGGGAGAACGATAGAGAACTAATATAAATTTAAATGTCCAATTGAAATTTAGTTGTATTCTTTTCAAACTACCAGAAGGTTATTTAAGCCATCTTCTTGAATTCTATCATGTGTGTCAGTACAGAATTGTGCTGCATGGTATTTTTTAACTGGCTCTTTAGAAGTGTCTCGCCAAGCTTTGGGTAGACTCGAATCTCCAACTTTTCTGTTAGTAACTCAACCAGGTGAACCATTTGTACTACTAGGGACTCTACTCACTATTTAAAAACAAAACAACACAAAACCCAACCCAAAAATCAGTGGAAATAATGCTGCTGAAATACCAGGAATCTTGTCTCTGGTATTATTTGGTACTTCAGATCTGAATGTGCCCTTTTTGAAAGTTCTTACAAATACAAAATAAACAGAAGCAAAACAAATGAAAAATACCATGATAGCAATGATAGGGCTCTATAAAACAAGAGCCATTGCAGGGAAAGCTGAAGGCTTGAAAGGTCAGTTGGAACAGGAAGAGGCATTCAACAGAAGAAGTGCACTAACTGCACTGCTGTTGTCAGGCATTGAGTCAGTTCTGATTTGCAGCAACCCAACGACACACTGCCCCACCCTGCTCGATCCTCTGTTACTGCTGTACTCAAACCCAGTGTGGCAACACCACTGTTACCAATCTGAAGATGTGAGGCCAAACGAACATGTGCTATAATCCTGCAGGCAAATAGTTCAAATCCGCCAGCTGCTTTGAGAGGATGAGCAATCCCCTCCCGTGCAATTACTGTCCCTGAAAACCTGCTGGAGGGTCAGCTATGATTAGTTTCTGACTCAACAGTATTCAACAACAACATGCCAAACAAATACAACACTGCAAAACAAAATTTTTTGTGTATAGTTCTGTGCTTGAACTAGGCTATTCTGTCCACTGGCCTTTTATACAAAAACCACGTTCATAAGTAACAATGTATATTATTGCCTGGTATAATCCTATCTTTGATTATACCACTATTTACTATTCAATAAATTGACTAAAAATGCTAATAAGCTTATGTTTACTACTGCTATTAAATCCAGATGCATGAAATTTACAAATACTTGTAGAAAATTCATATAACAATAAACACAAAAATTTAGCTGGAAGCTAAAAGACCTCTGCTGAGATGTAGTAGAAAGACGAGATTTCCATATGTAATGTTGTAAGAGAACAGTGGGCTGTGAGGCTAAACTTCTCCAAAAAGCCTATCCACCCCTAAAGCTGTATTTCGACCCTGTGACGTCATTCTGTGGTCAGACTTTTCTGCTTATTAGATGTAGTGGCTCAGTTTTTGTTGCTAACTATGTTATGTGCTGCCTGACTCATAGTGGGCCTTGCAGGACAGAAGCTTCTCTAGAAGCCAACAGGACCGACTGGCATGAAATTTGCATCTATTCACATCATTCTACTGTCAATGTTTAGAGGTCCAGTTTCCATTCTCTCAGCTTGAGAGATGAGACCGAGGCAGAATCAACACTATAACTGACAATACTAAGTTCTGTTAGTGACAGATATCGTGAACATGTAATACAGAAGAATAAGTAGCCTCTGGAGAGATCTAAGTAGAGATGAACTATAGACAGTGGTCCCTTGTCCCATTGAGCTCTTAGCTTCAGGCCAGCCCCAATGAATGCCTGCCACATGAGTAAGACAACTTGAAAATGGGTCACCCTAACTTCCAACTGGAGAGTCATTCCAACTGATGTTACACTGGTAGAGACAAATGTCTTCCATAAGCTTTGAACAAACTATTTATAAACATAACTAAATTTCAGCCACCAAGAGTTGAGCTGTTTGTTATGCAGCAGAAAGAGTCCAACAGAAGATACATAAATGATAGTTTTAGCTAAATAACCTAAATAGTATAGGAAAAAAACAGAAACTTTGTAGAATGGTTCCTCTTCACCAAAGGGAAGAGCAATTTTCAAATTTGGTAACTTTGTAAAGACAAACTAAAATATTTTCTTACACAATTTGCTTCTTTAGTTAAACTTTTCCATAAACATAGGCAATGTGGATACTATGAAAATAGTAGGCTGGAAAATTAAAAGAAAATGAAATTCAACTTTTAAAAATGAAGGTTTTTTTAATAATTAATAGATGCACCTTGGAAGGTACAATATAAAATATTCCATTTGTATAATTCAGAATGCCTTTTAATAAAAAGAATTACAAATATTACAACGAAAACTTTTATGAAAAACCTTTATAAAAAGTAAACTGAGAACCCAAACTCAAGCCATCAGGTCAATCCCAGCTCCAAGCAGCCGTGCTGAGCTGGACAGAGCTGCCCCGCGGTCTGTGAGGCTGTGCATCTTTACAGGGCTAGGTGGAGTCACCTTCCTTCTGTGTGCACTGCTGGGTCTGAATGCCAACATGGCTGCCATAAACACACAGCCTCTTCTGCAAGAGTTTCATGAGTGCTTCAGAACAAAATGATGCATTTCTGAAAAAAGAACTCCAAATCTTGGTGATGATAAGTTATCATGCATATGCTGGCAAATTCACAGTTACACTAGCCCACATAAAATGGGTCAATCGAGAGTGTCCCAGCTTCAAGGAATAAACAAATGTTTAAAGTACTGACTTCAACAATATGATGGAAAACAAATTAACAAACTGCTTTTTCCCATCTTCAGGGTTACATGGTCAACACACTGTAGACAGTGGAGGGAATGGGTTTTGCTTGCTCACAACCAGCTTCTGATGTTGATGTGATATATAGCCTTTAATGTGACCCTGTAGGAGAAAAAAAAATGGAATTGGCTTCAGAATTCTGGATGTCACACTAAATAAGCTGGAGAATTAACTAGTAATTGGAATATGCATTCTTCTTTAATAATTAGAAATAATCAAAAAAACCCCAGTTGATGTCAAGACAATGTGACTGATGGTGACTTCCCATGTCAGAGTGCAATTATGCTCCATAGGGTTTTCGCTGGCAAGTTATTTTCAGAAATAGGTAGCCAGGACTTTCTTCTAAGGTACTTCTGGGTGAACTCGAATGTCCAACCTTTTAGTCAACCGCTGTGTGCTTATCTGTGTCGCCCAGGGATAGCTCACCAGTAACAGTACAACCAAATTCAATAGAATGACAATGAGTAGAGATTATATATATATATATATATATATATATATATTAGAAAACTTACATGCATATAAATTTGTAATATATCCACCCACCTACCTTCTACAAAGTCCTTGGAATATTAGGTATTTCCTAGAGTAAGTTCTAACAGAAAATACCTTCATAAAAGGAAAAAGTCTTTTAATAATTTTAATACCACTACATTAAATCCTCAAATTCTAATTAAAATACTACTATAAAAAGCTGTTTAAACTAAAACTGGGAGTTCATATACCATATATATGAGATTAGCCAAAATACACTGGACTTCATCAATATCCACATCTTCGACTTGCATAAATTTCAAGGCAACAAGAAAAGCGTCAAGAGACAATTGATGTGTTTTCAGTAACAAATACCTGAAAAAGAAAACAGAAGTTTATTAACTAACTTAATAAGATGCAGTACTTTACAAGATAAGGTGCATCAATTAAGTGAAAAGGGGAGAAGAGATCTTTACTACTGTTCGACAGGAATAAAATTTTTTTTCACATATTAGATATATTTTAGCAGTAAGAGCTACTATAAGTTTGGATTTTCAATTTAAAAAGCCAGAGTATAAATATAATTTTTATATACTATGAATGCTGTTGTTGTTGTTAAGTGCCATCGAGTCAAGTGCAACTCTTAGCAACCCTATGAACAAAAGACCTGAACCCTATACTATAAATATGAATTAATATACTATGAATATTTATTTCTCTTTACTATATCTGGAATCAGAATATATTTTGCAGTTGAGAAGGTCTTCCACATTCTAAAATATTGCCATTACTATTTTTTATAGACTACTAATATCCATTGTAAATGAATACTTTCTGACTATAGTGACCCTCCATTGGGTTACTAAAGCTCTAAATCTTTACAGGATGAGACCGTCCATCTTTCTTGTTTCAGTTTACAGCTCAGAAAACCCAAAGAAGGGTTGCTATGAGTTAGAATCAGTTTGACAGTA